AGGCTCCTTACAAAATGAGCCCTTCTACACCTGAGTGCCCTGTACCTTCGTCCAGAAGGCAGGGGTATGAGGTAGTCCTGTAGTGGATGAGTGGGGTCTCGTTCTATGGAGAGTGAAACACGTCCAATGGCCTGTGGGTTTGTGTCTGTGAGGTTGGGTGTGGGGAGTCCAATGATTTTAGTATAATAACAAAAACAATATTTTACCTTAAGTCTATCTAAGTGAACTAAAGGTAAAAACAGGAATCTAAGTGCCTTTTTGTCAGCTGTCTTCATCAAAAAAGACTTGCAGTGACCTATAATGGCAGCGGCAGCCGCACCCATCCATATATCGATCTCTCGCTGCATTCTCCCATCCTCATGTGCAGGACCCCAAGATACTTGAACTCCTCCACTTTAAGCAGCAGAACCAGGTCATATGCAAAAAGCAGGGAGAATATTCGTCCACAAACCAGACTCACTTGGGCCCTTGGCTGCACCTAGAAATCTGACTTAATGGCGGCAATGCTGACCAACCTTCTGCTCCAATTGTACAGGGACTGGATGGCCTCCAGCAAAGGGGCCCTAACTTTATTCTATTTCTTTTTCTTATTGATAACCCTAAACACACTATCACTGAAAAATAAACCTGATACTGGACTACCTCATACCCCTGCCCTCTGGACGGAGGTACAGGGCACTCAGGTGTAGAAGGGCACGTTTTGGCAGGAGCCTGATCCCTGCAGCCATCACCTTTTTAAACAACAGGCCCCGTTGAGTGTATCATGTCTCGTATCGTGTCTTGTACTTGTGCTGGTGTTGGTGTTTACCGTGGTGTCTTTTTTTTTTTATGTCTTTGTGTAAACGAGCTCTGTGTATGTGGAAAAGACTCTCCCCTTGGGGACAAATAAAAGTCCAAAGTCTACTGGTTAGAGCGTTACTAACCACTTTTTAACATAGCAACGGAGTAAATATTTATTAATTATTTATCATTTTAATAAAATATTACATCTAACTATTAACTGCTTTCTTTTAGAAGACCAGGTTCCAGACCCTATGAATTCAGAATCTTTGGAGCTTTAAACCAAAACAGTCACTGAATCCAGACCTAGAATCTGAAGTTATGAACTTTCTACATGAGTGTTCCCCTTCATATTCAGTTTGTTCAGCCACATATTCCATGAGGCGCGTTAAACTAACAGACAAATGTGCATGAAATAAGCAGAAAGATAAATAGCCAGGCTTTGTAGATGCATTTTTTCCTGAATAAAACAGGCACTTATTGAATTATTTTAAAAGCTGCTTCTGCTTTGTTTTGCTACATCAAATTTGCTCTGCTGGAAAATCTGTTAACCTAATCACTCTTTTGGATACAAATCTATCTCGTAATGAATATAAATTTGCAATGCAGCATAAAAGCCTCAAGAAGAGCTAAGAAATTGATAGAAAATTTGGAAGAATAATTTATGTTGAACATCTTATTTTTTTATTTGTTTTTTTAGCTAAAAGAGGAGGAAAGACAAATGTAACTGCATGCCACAATTTGAGTTTCTCTGCTTCATTTTCTGCTGCAGACTATTTTCTGTTATTAAAGTTTGACTATGACTATGTTTGACTATGAGCGAATGTTGCAGATAGTCTTACAGACAGTCTCTGAAAAAATTTGGGTATGCGTTTATTGCATTACAGTGATATAACTGATACATTTCTACTTGCAATTGGGCACTAAAGAGCAATTGTATTATCTTTAGGGAGTAGTCTTTATTACTGAGCTCTGTAGAGATAAGCAGAGCTCTGACCAGATACCTCTGGTCAAGGTAAAATAAAAATAAAAATATGAAACAACTCTCATTGTTAATACCTGCAAGTTGTTTAAGGTAAGTCTACCAGCTTTGCAAATGCAGGGACAGATATTTTTGCCCATTCGTCTGCAAATTTAGATTGTATGGAATGTTCAAAGGTATAGTGAAAGATTTTACTGAGTTTTTGAAAAGACCTGCAGTCTCCACTATAAAATGCACATGCACACCCCTGTACTTGCTCTCAAGAGGGAACTCCTATTAAATGTGTGTGAGAGCATGCACGACCCCATTTCTCTCCGAGCACGCTCTGTCTAAAAGTTGCTGTTTGCATCGCTCATACAAACTTACTTTCCAAAAGAAGATTTGCAGTTTTTCCAATATGTCATACTCACCACTGGTAAATGAAAACGGGGATGAACAAGTAGGACTAGTGTGGGGGAATGTCCAGTCTAGC